TGTGTGTGTGTGTGTGTGTGTGTGTGTGTGTGTGTGTGTGTGTGTGTGTGAAGAGCTCCTGGGAAGGGTGCAGGGAAGCGGCCCTCTGGTGTGTATGCTTAGCCAGAAAGGTACCGTGCTCAGGCCTCTCCTGTCCTGGTTCACCTGAGAGGGCTATGGCCTGGAGGTGGGGCTGCCAGTTTTGGATTGTGTGTGGTGGCTTTACACGATTCACCCCCGCCTACTCTTCCCTCTTCCAGTGGAAGAAGTGGACAATACGGTGACACTCATCATCCTGGCTGTGGTGGGCGGGGTCATTGGTCTTCTGGTCTGCATTCTGCTGCTGAAGAAGCTCATCACCTTCATCCTCAAGAAGACCCGAGAAAAGAAGTGAGTTCACTCCCCATCACTCCAGGGCTCCATCAACTGGTGGCCCTCGCCCTCCACCTCCACCTCCATCCACCCCTGCCGGTGGCGGTATCTCCACTCCTGATGCCACTGTCCCTACAGCCCTTGCCCCAACTCTCTCTCAGCCTCTCTCCGCCTGCTCTTCCCTCTCCAGCCCTCTCCCCGCATCCCTCCAGTCTTTCTCTTCCCATTTGTACCACCTGCCCCAAAGCTCACCATAAGATTTAGGAAGTCTACTTATTTTCCGAGTTATACTTCTCATTTTGGCTCTCTTTTATCAGAGAGAATGTGAATTCATGTATAGAAACCCTAGAATGGAAAGACTTTTTTAGGGAGATGAAAAATTCGGAGAATTCAAATGGGAGGAGGCAGAAACAAGGTCTGACACATGAACACAGTAGCTCATGCCTGCAACCCAGTAGTTGAGAGTCAGGCTTAGAAGAAGCCTTTTGAGTTCAAGGCCAGTCTAGTCTATGCTGTGAGGCCCTGTTTCAAAAGCCAAAGCTAAACTAAACTAAACTCCGCTAAAATCTGAAATGGTGACACGGCCTCCCAGGAAGTCCTGGAGTAAGTTCAGTTATAAAAATAGACATCTAGGGTCAGGAATGTAGCTAAGTAGTGTTGTTCTTGTTCTTGCTATATGTGTGAGGTCTTGGGTTCAATATGTTTTTTTCTGGAGGAAAATGGGCAAGTATAGAGGTTGTGAGCCCAGGCCCAGAGTTTTCTGGAACAGTGTCAGGCTAGCTTTAAAGCAGCAAGTGAGGGATCTTGCAAACCAGAGCAAGGAGAAGGCATTAGAAAACTGTTCTAGGGAAGATGGTGATGAGGTGGGCTGCCCTGGGACAGAATAAAAAGAAAAGGCTAGGGGGAGGGCACAGGGCTGGGTGCAGGGAGCAGGGTGCAGGGTGCAGGGAGCCACCCACTCACCCCTAATCCCTCCTGCCTCTTACCAGTGTCTCCTCTCTCCCTCTCCTCTCCAGGAAGGAGTGTCTTGTGAGTTCCTCTGGGAATGACAACACAGAGAACGGGCTTCCTGGCTCCAAGGCAGAAGAGAAGCCACCCACAAAAGTGTGAGGCCCTGCTCGGGCCAAGCAGTGCAGGGAGCCTCACTTTCCGATGGTGACACGGATGCCTGGGTTCTGTCTGTAGACACCCACTGAGATGTGTGCTGCTTGGCCCAAACTGTAGTCTCTCTGAGCAGAAGGACCTGATCCTGTCCTGTCCAGCCTGCGCTACCATTCTCCCCCTAGCCAGGGCTTCCCAGGGCAAGGGCTGTTTAGGGGAGGAAGCCTATAGGAGATCGAAGAAAGGGAAAGGCAGGGCTGGAGCCCTGTGGAAGGGTTGGTCCCTGGCACCTGGGAAAATGGGGTCCCCTTTAGACTTCCCACCTCCGTGAACCCTCACTTTCCCCTCACTTTTCCTACTCATCTTTCACCAGGAAATCGGGGTGACCAGAAGGCTGCTCCCAAAGCTGGGGTTCAGAGATGAGCTCTTGAGATGCTGGGAATGTGCTAGAACTCTGGGGTGTAGTCTGCTGGAAGTGGGGCCAGTTCAGAGATGCTGGCTGGGCTTTGAAGGATATCAGGCTTCCAGAAATTCCTTCAGAGGAGACTTCTCTTCCCCCACCCCAGAACACCTGCACACACTGTTCTGGCTCCCTGTCCAGCCTTCTGCTCTGAATTTGTAGGATCCCCACCCCCAGGTCGGCCTGGATGCCCTGAACTTCAAGTGTCCCAGTCTACCCTAGCCTGTCTTTGCTCTCGATTGCAGCAGCTGAGGAGGCTTGTGGGGAGGTCCTCCATCCTCCCTGGAGCACTGGGATGCTATATGCATCTTTTCTCACTTTGCTTTTCGGGTTTCAGAGGTGGGAGAACAGCGTCTCCAACCTCCCAGCGTTTGGAATGTCTATCCCAGCCCTACAGGACTGACAACCCTTATCCTTGGCATGGCAGGACCATGCCACCCTGGCACTCCCAGAGCACAGTTTTCCCCACTTCTGCCCTTCTCTTGAAACAGCTGATGTTGCCACCTTACCCGAGGAATGGTTTGCTAGAACCTTCCATCCTTTCCCTTTGCTCCTCCTATGTCCCTCCAGCATGTCTGGCCTTTCCCTGCCCCCAAATCCATCCTTTTCCCAGCCCTGGGTCTGCCTTTGCCTCAGGGACCCTTGTTTCCAGAGAAGGCCCTTGGCTTTTCCAGCTGCTTTCTGCCCAGCTGGGTCAGCTCCTCTCCCAGCCTGAGGTTGAGGAGGAGCAGAGAGCGGGTTCTTATGCTTTCTCGCTCCTTCCTGCAGAGCCGGTTTGCACACCCCTCGAGTGTGGGGCTAGATTGTGCCTTAGCTCCCTGAGTCCTGGTTCTTACCCCATTTCCTTTGGCTCACACTCCCTGACTTAATTCCATAGTCTGGTGTGACAATGGTGGGGTTCCCCAGCTCCCCTCCCCAAGGTCGTAGGGGAGGCCTTGCAGCTGGAGCTGTGTTGACAATGGCCCTTTGGCTGGTGGTAGTCTTGAAGACACCTGTGAGGTGTCTCATCCTTGTCCTTATTGTGAACATGGGATGACATCGGATGTGGGACCTCCAGGTGAGTTTGATTGTGGGGGGTCACTATGGGATATGAGATGTGATAACGGGGTACCTCCAACTCCTTCATCAGGTTTATGATACTCTTGGGTCCCCAGAAGATGAAGACCATTCCTCTTCCTAGGGAGTCTAAGGCCTGTTGCAGGCTCTGCCCGGGCGTAGCTGAAGGCTTACCCCAAAGTAGAAGTGAGGGTCTAAGGAGCAATAGGGCCTGTAGGGGCCTGAGGCTATGGCTTGCGTCTCTTGTCCAAGCCCAGGAGCTCACAGGTCCTTACCTCCTCTCCTCCTGTCCTTCACATGGAACCCGTTGTGGGCTGGGGTAAAAGCTGCCCTTCTCCCGCTTTATATTTCATTTGAGACAGAGTCTCAGGTAGCCCAGGCTGGCCTCCAACTTCCTACATAGCCAAGGCTGGCCTTGAACTCCCGACCTTCTGCCTCCACCACCCCAGTGCTGGGATGACGGGCGTGACCCCACACCCTGCTCGGAGCAACCTGGCTCTGAGAGCAAACATGGCACCCGAGCCTCCAGCCAGCCATTCAGGAAACTTCCAGCTGCCTTCACATAAACTGCTTTCTTCCCCAACACAGGAAGGGGCCAAGTGCTGTGGGCAATTCTTGCTTTCTTGAGAGGAAGCTGAGGCGTGTTACCCTGCCCCTCTTCCCGTCACTGTCGGCTTACAGGCAACCCTTGCAGCTTCTCCCGTCTACCCAGAGGGTGAAGTCGTACCTACCTCACAGGACTGTTGTGAGGCTTGGCGATTGGTTTTGCTTTGTTCTTGCTTGGCTTGGAAAGGCATTGGGAAACAAGGCTTTTAACTGGAGAGAGTGTTCCACGGCTGTCCTGTCCTCATCCCTATAACCCACATATGCCTCACACTCTTCCTCTTCCCTTTGGAACCATAGGAACCATAACTCTGATTGATGCTTAAAGTATCTTGTCCATGGCACTTTTTTTTTTAAAATGAAGATGAATGAGACTATGGGGGTCATTTTCTTATTGTTGTCCCAATGCCTGTGATACTATTGGCGTTTAATGGATAGGGAGTAAGAGCACAAAACTTAGTCCTCTTGACAGAGAATGTCCGGTCCTAGTACTAGCTTCACGCCTGTGCAGACATTGCCACGGACTGCATTACAATGTATACTCACAAAGCCATTTCCCCCAGCCAGACCCTCTGGCAGGCAAGTTTTCAGTAGTGATCTCAGGGTTGCTAAGGGTGCTCCCTGCACCACTGGGCTACAGAACCTCTTATACGGTTGACTTTGGAAAACCTGGGCCCATGCAGTTGTGCTGACAGTGATGTCAGTGAGACCAAAGATGAAGCACAAGTCCCTCATCCTTGACCTCCGAATAGACATCTGCCTTGGAGGGCCCAGATCGCTCTATGGAGAAACTGAGGAGCAGAAGGCAACTGGAACCAGCCTGCAGGGCTGGAGGGCCCGAGAGCGGGATGGACAAGGGGGCAGAATGTCACACCTCTGACTGACCAGCTTTTGTGGAGTCTGGGAGACAAGAGCATCCTTTAAACGGTGGGACTCGAAGGTGCTCTGGTGTGAAGTGGGTGTGGCAGGGTGTGCCTGAAGAGGGTGCACTGTGCACGCAAAGAGCCATGTGAGATGGGGGGAGGGGCTCTGCCTTTGCAGTAGCCTGAGCTGGAGACTGAGGAAGGGTCAGAGACAGAAATGAACAGCCACACTCCTGGATTCCACTGGGTGACTCCATGGACAGAAAACGGTCATTGGAAGGCTGGGGCAGGGATGCCGAAAAGAAGGATTTGTGGGGAAATCCTCTAGCTTGCTGCACTTTGTTTTGTCCCGGATTGGAGTCCCTGCTCTCCTCCCTCCTACCGGATACGCAGTGCTTTTGACTATCTTATGCATGGTTTACTCATCTGGCTTGGATGGCTGTACCCATAGTCAGTTTTCCTATATACCTTTATAGATCAAACAGGATAGTGATGGGCTGTGGGAGCCTCAGGTCCACGGGGCCTCTGGGAGGCCCTGATGTGCACACACCCACCACTGACTTGTGTTTAAGCACAGACTGAATGCGATTAGGTTGTCTTGTCTCTACAACACATTTTGCACTGTAGGATTGAATTTAGCTTCGCTTTGGATGAAATAAAAATTATTTTTTAATAACTTGGGACTTGAGCTTTTTACTTTGGGTTGCTCGGGAGTTGAGCTCCAGCTTCATTTCCCACATTGACAAGTTTACCTTCTCTGACCTTTTGTCCACTTGTGTTGAAAATGTCACTGGCTCAGGTGAGATAGTACATGTCAAGTGCCTCAGGGTTTCTGACACATCCGAGACGTTTGTGTTGTTTTAATTTTGGTCCTTTGAAAAACAGGTCCTTTCACACAGGAATTGATACTAGACTGTGTGAGCTGATGCCCTTAGAAACAACTCTGGAGCTACGAGATAGCATCCATCTGAAGGAGATTTTTACCTGACTACAAAGCTAACCCGGGAGTGGAGATCCTGAAGAAGGGATGTGCTAACTTGTTGGTCCTGCAAGCATAAGGAGCCCACTTAGAGTCCTGGAACACTCATCAATAAAAGACACCAAGTGTGGCGGTGTGCTCTTACAATCACAGCCCCCAAGAGTTAGAGACAAGTAGACCCCTGGGGCTCACGGTTGAATCAGAGTAGTCTACTTGGTGAGCTCTAGGCCAGTGACAGACCCTGTATAAAAAAAAACGGACAAATGGCACCCGAGGAACTACACAGGTTTGTCCTTTGACCTCCACATGTGTACTTGCATCCACAAACACATGTGCATCGGCACACACATGTACTTACATGTATGCATGTATGCACACAGGATTAACCATCATGAGAGTACCTGTCTGGTATGTGCAAGGCCCAGATTCAAGCCCCACCCCACCCAAAGAAGTTAACTGTCACAACTGTTACAGGTTAGATAGAAAGTGTCACCATAAATGTATATTGGGTGCAATGTTGGTGGGGGCAGGGAAAGAGGCTTTTGTGAAGGAACTGGATCATGAGGGCTCTGACCCCATCAATGGATTAATACCTTTATTAATCCATTCATGTTTTAATGGAATTAAACCATGGTTCATGGTTTAATGGAATTATTGGAAGGGGGTGAAAACCAGGAGGTGAGACCCAGAGAAGGCAGCCAGTGGGGATGTGTCCTTGAAGGCCATACCTCATCTTTGTTTTTTCCCTTCCTGGCCGCCATGAGGTATGCAGCTTTCCTATCATGCCCTTCTATGGTGATGTTTCTACCTTGCCATGGGCCTAAGAGGAGGGGAACCGGCCAGTCACGGCCTGAAGTCTCCAACACTCTGAGCCAAAGCAAATCCTTCTGCCCTTAAGCTGATTGGCTCAAATATTTTTGTTACCGAAGCAAGAACTGAGCAACACAGGCAACCACCAGTGAGATGTCCCGGACAAGCCAGCTCAGCTCTCTGTGCCTCAGTTTCCTTGCCTGCCAAGAGGGAGGAGTTATGTCTATTTTGTGAGGAACCTGTGAGATGTTGAATAGGGCAACATGTGTGAAACACTTCTAAAGCTGCAAAGAGTTGGCTATAGAAATCTAAGGAATTTTGGAGCCAGGGGACAACTCTACAGGTGTCCAGCAAGAGCCTAAAGCTAAGATCCCGTTGAGAACACACCAGCCGGAAGGGAGGCAGTGGCTGAACTTACACCTCTTGCTCTTGTTTGGAAGGGGATGTCAGTTGCATGAGGCAGAGCTGGGACAGTAGTGGTTCATGTCAGAAAGTGGCATGTAGTTGCTGTGGCTATGACAGTTGTCCAAAACCAAGCTCATGGTCTTACCTCATTCTGAGTGTTCCCCAGTGTTTCCCACTCACTCGGTCCTCTAGGATAAAATATCCGACTCTACCATGACACACATTTTTCTGTCATTAACTCTTTAACTGTTCCCCCTGCCCCTTTAGCAAATCCCCTCAGCTCTACGCCAGAATCCATTAGGGGCTTAGCTTCCTTTGGCTTTACCAATCTTACAGCTACAGCCCAGGCAGCAGCCCTTCTGTGTTTCCCCTCATCTCCTCTGAATGTCCACATATTGCCATTCTAGTTGTGGATAATGTGAACAAGCTTTTTCTGGTCCCGTGCCAGCTCCCCTAATACCCTCTAATTTGAAGTTGCTTCATACATGCTGCCTCATATGATCCTCATGGGATTCTCATGATACAGACACAACTACCCCCACCTTACTGGCAATGGAGGTGAGGGAGTCAAGGCACAGAGGGCTGAGCTGTCTTCTCAAGTTGGTTTTCTCAGCTTCAGGCAACCTTTCCAGGTAGCCAAGGACTCTGATGGGTCCCTTCCAGACCTATGGAGCTCTCTTTCCGTGATGCTCTCTCATGGCTCTCTGCTTGCTGGATCTTCTCTATTTTGGCTTTGCTGATCTCCAGCGCTACCTCTGAGGTAGTTTAGATGAAAATGGTCCCCATAGGCTCACGTGTTTGAATATTTGGTCCCTGCTGGTGGAACTGTTTGGGAAGGATTAGGAGGTGTGGCCTTGTTGGAGGTAGTGTGTCAATAGGAGTTGGCTTTGAAGTTTCAAAAGCCCAGGCAGCTCTCTCTGCCTCCAACTTTTGGATCAAGATATAAGATCTCAACTATTGCTCCAATGCCTGCCAGCCTGCCTGCCTGCCGCCATGTTCCCCGCCATGCTCCCTGCCATGATGGTCAGAGACTCACCCTCTGAAGCAATAAACCCTAACACACGATTTCTTCTCTAAGTTATGGTGCTTTGTCACAGCAACTGGAAAGTGACGACGACAGAAGTTCTTCTCGTTTCCAGGAGGCTGTGGGATTCAGCTGTGTGCCACAGGACATTCCCTGAACGTGGCAATTGTAAAGCTCCCTTCCTCTGCTTCTCCTCTCTCAGGCATCACTGACTTAGGCTGCCCACTTCCTGTGTGTTAAAGATGTTGGAGGTGTTCTCACCAAGTGTTTTGGTTGTTTCAGGTGGGGAAGTAGAGCCAGTCCTTTCTTGCCACTCTGCTCTTGTTGGAAGAAACTCACAAAAAATGTACATTCTTGTAAGAACTCATTTGAGATGTGTTTAGACATTTTTATTTTGCTTTCATTCAAAGCAAGAAGTAATGTAAGTGTCTTTGGACTGGTAAGTAGATGTAATATGTTGTCTTGTGTTTCTCTAACAAAACACCAGATGCTGACGACTAGAGGAAGAAGAGCTTTATTTAGCTCACAGTTCTGGAAGTCAGAGAGCGTGTGCTGGGTTCTGGCCAAGTCCTTCTTGTAGACGGCATCACAGGGGTTAAAGTGTGTGTTGCAGAGATAAGCAGTGTGTGAGGGGGGATTCAAGGGAGAAGCTAGTCTGCTTTAGAACAACCAACTCTTAAGGCACTCCCAAGTAGGAGCATTAATCCATTTATAAGGATGGAGCCTCTACGGCCTAATTACCTCCCATGAGGCCCAACCAAAGTTCTATCACACTCCAACACTACAACGCTAGGGATGAAGTTTCCAGAACATGGGCCTCTGGGGAGTAAGTCAGCATTGAGTAAACATACTGTCACAGATACCTACAACGAATATCCTGCAGTGATAAACAGTTACAGGCACTGACAAGGGTTGATCTAAAAAGAAACCATTAAGCTAAGAGAAGGAATTCAGATTCAAAAAGGGTCTCTACTTCATCGGTTGTGACCACTGTCTCTCTCTGGTGAGGGACATGGATGTCTATGGAGACTGTGTGTGTGGAAGGTTATATGGGAAGTCATTTGACCCACGGTTCAGTTTTTCTGTTGATCTAAAATTTCCCTAAAAACTAAAGTTTTAAACACCAACAACAAATATGTTGTATCAGCCACTTTCTCCTTGGTGGCACAAAATACCTGACAAAAGTGACTTAGGAAGGGAGGAAAGGAGGGAGGGAGAGAGTGAGGGAGGAAAGAAGGAAGGAAGGAAGGGAAAGGAGGGAGGGAAAAGGAAGGGAGGGAAGGAAGGAGGGATGGAGAAAGTGAGGGAGGGAAGAAGGAAGGAAGTAAAAGGAGGGAGAGAAAAGGAAGGGAGGGAGGGAAGAAGGGAGGAAGAGAGAGGGGGAGGGAAGAAGGAAGGAAGGAAGGAAGGAAGGAAGGAAGGAAGGAAGGAAGGATATCTTGGCCTAGAGTTCTAAGGGATACAGACCCCTGTGTCAGGAAGGCATGGAGGCAGAAGCAGGAGACGGCCGGCTACACTGCATCCACAGTCAGAGTGTGATGGATGCTTGCATTTAGCTTCCTTTTTCCTTTTCATTCAGTCGTAGGCCCCATGCCATGGGATGATGTTACCCACAGTTAGCATGGCTCTTTCTCTTTCCAGGAACCTAATCTAGATAACCAGTCAGAGACATTCCCAAGGACTTGTTTCCCTGGTGATCCTTAATACCATCAAACTGACGATAAAGTTTAACCACCACCTATTACACAGTTCTTTCTGTTTCTATAATATTCTAGAAAAAGCAAACTACAGGGACAGATGGCTAACGGAACAGTGAGTGCCATGGGCTATGGCTAGGGGAAGGACTGGCACAGAGACATTTTGGAGAGGATGGAGCCACTGTGGTGGCTGCTTGCCCATATGTGTTTGTCAACACTGGCAGTAGTATACATTGAAATGGTGAATATCATTGTAAGCGGATTATTACTTTGGGAAATCTATGAGGAATTCAATGACATCCCTCTTTGACTCAGAACCTTTCAGTCTAACTACCAGCCTACCTCTGGCCCCAGTGCCTCTGATATTTTCCTTTTCTGAAGCTATCTTCCTGACCCACTCTTTTTAGCCTACCTGGGATACACACCTTTTTTTTTCTCTACTGGAATGTGCAAAAAGATGATGCTGGTTTGAGGTCTTTGGGCCATTATGGGAATGCCCTCAAAGGGGATCAAGGACCCTCTGCATCCTCCTTTTCCTGCTATGTGTTTCTACTGTGATACGCTGACTTACCATAGGCCCAAAGCAAAAACTGATCAAGAACTTCCAAAACTGTGGGCCAAAAGCTCCTTTCCTCTTTATAAGTTAATTATCTCAGATATTATAATATAGCAACAGGAAACTGACCGATGTAGTTGGTGTATCGGTAGTATTACCTTCTACTACCCAGCTCATTTACTTTCTCATTATTTTTATT